CATGTGCATATATGGGTGAAGTGTTGAAATATTTGGCTGAGAACAGGCTGAGCTCATCAAACCTACCAAAGCACTTTGCTGTCAAATGATGAGGAATTAAACTCTCCAGCACACAGGAGGGGCATTGAGGCCCATGGAGACTGAGCACATGCCTGGGAGGACATTATGGGTCTCCAGTAGGTGGCTGTCGGCACAGCCTGTGATCCCTGGGACAGCTGGCCCAAGGGAGGCAGGGCTCACAGGAGCTCCAGAAATGGCTCGCTCAGAGGTGTGCCAGAGCAACCTCTGTAATATGACAGAACTCCCTGACAAAGCTGAGGATCACTCCCAGGACACTGCTTGACAGGAAAAAAACTCTCATTGCAATAATTTCTCCATTTTAGAAAAGGAGAACTGAAACAGGAGATAATGACTTGGCTGAAATTACGCGGAGGACCTCTGGCTGTGTTTGGATTTGAGTCCTGGTCTCTTGATCCCCAAGCCATCACTTGAGCCTCAAGATCATTGCAGCTGCTCTGCAGAGTTTGTTGATGTAAATCACTATGGAGCTCTTGCTGCATCCACCAAGCCTTCTGCACTGAAACCAGTGATTCACCCCTGTGCTGCTGGAGCCAGGACGTGCTCATCTCTGCAGCCCTTGGAGTTAACAAGCTGGTTTTTGAAGGCAAGCCCTGTCACCTTATTCCCTGCCCCTTACTTTTCCTTAGGTCACTCCTTCTTGTTTTCACAGCTTTGTTTGGTTTCAAAAGCTGATGGAGCAGCAGGATTAAAAAAATCAGAAATATTTACCGTAGAGGATGGGTCTGGCTTTTCCCATCAGCTTCCATGGCTCAAGTAGGTTCTAACAGCTTTGGGAGAAAAGCTGTTAGCTATTAAATTATTACCTGTAAGGAGAGCCAGCTGGAAGCTTTCAGTTTTCAACATTTTGATGAAAAGCACCATAAAAATCTTGACAACAAGACTTGTAGCATTTCAATGACATGTTTTGCATTTGTCCCTGCTTTTTAATGGCCTGTAAAAGTGATCAAAGGCTTCAAAATGCTGCCGAGACCCACATCTCAGGAATTTTGACCCCCCAAAATGAAGGCGGGGGGGGGAAAGCAAAACTCAGAGTGTGGACAGCTTTTGGGAAGTCATTTCCCATCTGGAGGAGAGTGTCCACAGGGAGAGTTATTCGGCATAAACTGTTATGGTGTAATTACCCAGCTCCAGCTATGCCAGTCTATTTGCTGGTGTAGGCAAGCCAAGTCTAGTTGTTGAAACGTAGGCGTGGGAAACAAGAAGTGTGCTTTCTAGGCTCAGCTCTTTGGCCTTGGGCCGGTCCCCTAACCTTTCTGCCTCCTTCCTATGCAAAATGAGAAGAGTTAAATTAACCCACTTCACAGGTGTGGTGTAATGACTAATTGGCTAAAATTTGTAGCGCTGGGGAGAGAGAGAGCTGTTGATTAACTTCCGTGTCTTGGGCTGAGTGAATAATTTGGTGTCTTTCTCCATAGTGGAGTTTGTCTCACTCTCAGGATTGGGTGGCTCATTTGATGTGAAGTGACAGTGCTAAGAAAACCTGGGGTTTGCCTTGTTGTCTAACAACAGTATTGCACTTGTGTGTAGTTAGACCAAGAGTTGAGGCTTTTGCTTCAAGATTTCGCAGTTAAGATTTTGCTTGAAAGCAAAATTTCCAGGTACTCAGAGCCTTTGATACACAAAGAATGTGGGTATGTAGTGATGGAGATACTTTAGTGCATGTCTGAAACTCAGTGGTAAAGTGCACGTGTTACTCCCCTTAGTACCAATGAAAATCAAGGATAACTCTCCATTATTCCCATGGGTTGCTCTGTTGGGTGAAGAGGCTCAAGGGTGTATGGGCAGCCTGAATTATGATGCTTCCTAGTGTTTGCGTGCTTATCTTTGCAAATTTAAATTTAATAATACCCGCGTATATCGCGCATGACATACATAACCTCAGCTCCTTAATGGACAGTAAATTCTGGTGTCTCATGATGGCATTGCCACGGCCATCAGCACCTGGCAGCTCAAAGAGAAGAAACCAGGACGATGCTATTGCATCTGATCCAGGACCCGTGGAAAGCAGAGAACACTGTAAGGAAGCACATCAGACATTCACCCTCAGCCAGCTGCGGTGGGTTTGGGTCAGGCCTCTGAGTGGGTCTGTGAGGGTAATTCCTTACTTAGGGGGACGCCCCTTCACTGTGGGGATGTTCTCTCACTTATGGGGTGACCCCTCACTGTGGGGATAATCCCTCACTTATGGGGTGTCCCCTCACTGTGGGGGTAATCCCTGATTTATGAGGTATCCCCTCACTGTGCGGGATGTCCCTTCACTGTGGGGAACACTCGGGGCTGTTCCTTCAGCCTTGGCTGTGAGGCAGCGTCAGGGTTTCCCTCAGGACAGTAATGGTGATTTTTTTTTTCCCCCTTTCCCCACCACATCGACTTCTCGGGAGAGGGGGGGGAATGGCACGTAGAATCTTGATTGTAACCAGGTTGTCTCAATATAAACGGACCACAAACTCCGCTCGTATTTACCGTGAACGTTTAATTGAGTAACAAGCCCGGGGG